TCAGGACGAGAGCGTTTAGAGAGGGAGATAATGCACGGCAGCACTCAGACCAAAAGGTTATCTACTTTTCCATGACAGCTGATGGGACGGGACAGGACACGTCAAGTCCCATAAATCCCAATGGCTGTCACTAACAATGCACATCAATAAGACTGAGTTATTAGAGACAGAGAGACTGAGTGTGTACTGGCAATATGACATACACTGACAATCAATCATTTTGATTGGAATGTATTTGTAGCCTATAGGATCTAAAATCTGTTAAAGTTCTGTCCTGGACTTCGATAATAGGGATGCACCGTTATGATACTGGTAATGGATATTGGTGCCGATATTGAAAATATTGGTGGATCAGAAAGCGGCTTGCAAGAAACTGGTTCAGCTGATATCCCATTTTGGTTTATAAATTGGTGTAATAAGACAGTTTCCTGGAAAAATTATAATATTCCACGTATATTTATACAAAGCTGTTCTGTAGTTACAAAACACATTTGCCTTTTTTTTTTTTTTACCTTATGCTGTTTGTGTTTAAAGGAAATAAATGCTATTTTCAGTTTCTGAATTGGTATCGACTGATATCAGGTATAGGCAGATTCTTAAATGCAAAATATCAACATCAGTATTGAAACAGAAAAGGCTAAATCGGTGCATTCTTAATAATCTTAATTCTGTCCAAATACACATAACATATTCCCATCTAATTAAGTAATTCAATTCATGTTCTATTCTATTCAGTTCTTTAGTGCTCACCTCAAAAACCTCATATTTGGTATAGAATATAACCATATTAAAGTCACCATTGTTCAGTACTCATATGTCATAAGGTATCCTTATTTGCACAGTTTCAGTTTTTATTTGCTTTAACTTTAAGTTTCACTGACATATGACGTAACAATTAAATGTTTAAATCTGTGTGTCTTGACAGCTGCTGCTCTCCTCAATGGCAAAATTTATAAGAAATGTTTATGCATGCGTTTGTGCCATATTTGTTTTGAGTGATACAGTTGTGTGTTTCTTTGAATTTTTTGCTCAGTTTGTCCATTTTAATAGGGTCTCGTCCTCAAAGATTTTGTGTTCTGATTCGTTGATTATTTAAACGTTTAAATGTGGATCCAAAACAGACAAAAAGTCAAGATGATGAATATCAAAGTGTAAAAATCATTGATTACTTATTCACATTATATAACTGAAATGAGGTGAAAATCAATAGGAGAAATGGGAGACGACCCATGCTTGTCTACAACAATTGTATGGTCGGCCTTTTCTTCTCCCTATAGTATCATTAATAGAATTGACCAAACCATCAGATGGAGAAATATACAGTCATTTTCTCGCAGCAGGGAAGCAAAGCAACTAGGAACATGATTGGGAAGACACAGCGTGACGTGTGGTGACCTTTCTCCCTGGTGAAGCACAGCTGTATTCTAATGGTGCTAAGTCCTGTCAAAAAGGAGGCGTGCAGCAAGGGTCAGTTTAGAGAAACGATCATTTACTGCCTTGTAACAAGGCAGTCTGAGCTGTCTGCCACGCAAGATCATAAACACAAGCTGTTAAGAGAGGGAAAGTCACTAACATAACCATCTGCGGGCTCTTCAAATCAGGATTGTCAAACAGCATCTGAAAACTGTCTGGAATTCTGTACTTTTATTACAAATTCAAAGTGGTTAACCGGTCATATCACTGCTATGGCAATTTTATGAACTAAGTCTCAATGACCATATTACCAGATCAAATATAGGATAAATGTCTGTACTGTAATAATTACAGAGAGACTACTATACTGGTTGGGCCGATCAAGCCGATATTTGGACATTTTAGTGCATTGGCCTTAAATCTCTAACACTGGCCGATATTTGTTTTTGGTTGATCTACTGCCTAAAAATACACAGCGTTTTATTTGAACACGAGGCGATAACGGAACAGAACATGACGATTGAGCACTCTTATAAGGACTGTGAGTGAGTTTGTAGTAAATGCATATTACATAATTTTGATAAGAGGTTTCTCTGGATTATAAACAATTGGCATTTTACATTACGCTTATTTTACAAGATGATGAACATTCCAGACTCGTTTATGCACACATTTAAATTCATTTTTACATTGCTGATCAAACACTCCCAGCTTTTTTTTTTTTTTTTCGTGCCAGGCAATTTTCTACAGTAATGGGATGGAGCACATTTTATCTGGGGCAAAACGCTTCATTATCTTTAATAAGCTGTTACATGGGCATGGAATGGTGTTAAATGGTCCAGCGCTTTCAGTTTGCCGATCTTGACTCCTAATTCAATGCAGTTATTACTCAGCATGCATCATTGGTTCTGCTGCAGATATAGGATTTGCATTCACCGTGACTGAACATATTAATAAATGCACTTAGAAACATTGTGACTCAAATGCTCTGGTTGTTTGGTGTTGGAAATCAACAGAGGTGCCTCTGACTCAAGTGCCGGCAATCTGGCCTGTAATCGTGAGCAAGTAAACAGTCACACTCAGAAAATGTACAAAATGAAACTGAGATGGATTGGTTGTTTTGTACACTTGTGAGATCTGGAGATGATATTTGTAGATATTATAAATACCCCAAATTTGAGTACAAGCATGATTACTTAAAAACTAAAAATGCCACTGAATAAAAGTAGTATTTACTATGATAGCTTCAACTACTATATAGCTTCTTCTAGTATAACTACAACTACTATGCTACATACTACATATCACTATGTGCTTGTTCTACAGATTTTTCTATGCAAATATTTCAGTACATGATTATTACTACTACCACTACTTGAACTGATGCACATGTACATACTTTTGCTACTGTGCATGATGTTGCTCCTACTGCTTTTCATATTGAACCTTGTGATGTTCTGGTTGTTAGTATTACTCAGTCAACCTTACAGCTGCAAAAATACTCCTCCTCATTTGTAGATAGAAAAAAACATTTTGTAAGTGTAATTAAATTAGTAGAGTCAAAGCAGTTAAACCCTCTATCCCGTGATTTATCGTATGGCATAAAAACACAGGAGGAGCATAACCTTGTTGATGCATAAGCAGGAGTGGTGTGGCCTGGCAGATCACATGAGATTTGATTATAGAGCTAATAAAATCAGCCTTGTCCCTGGCTATCTGCTTGATACACACCCTCCTGCTTCTCTGTCTCCCTTGGGTGTCCTGCTGATGACTGCTCCATTCTGGATCACTGGTGCACAGAATGACTTCTTTGTTACTGCTGTTTACTCCCTTCATTTTGCAGCTCCTAAAGCCACCTTGCAAATGACCCCCGAACAGAATGCACATCCATCTACACCTCCGTCTGTGTTGTTTTTGGCTCTGCGGAGGTGTGTGCAGCAGAGAGATTCTGTAGTACCTTTTTTCTTAAGTCATCTTTATTTATATACATAGGGCTCTTTTGTGCACGTGGCTCACATCTTTCACTCATGAGACTCTTAAGAACTATGAAGGTGTTTACACTTCCTGACTATTGTGCATTATTCACAGATGATGGTGGAAGTCTGTTATAAATTAATACAAAATAGTTACAAAAAGATCTGATTGAATGGCCTATATTGTGTTATTTTTGATCTATGTGTTATAATGTTGTTTCCACATCCAAACCATACTTGGAGTTGTGTTTGTGTTGTTTCATTCACACATACGATAAAGTGCATATTTGCATATTTAAGAGTTGTTTTCTTAAACAGAAAACACTCTATTCCACCTGGTGATGTCATGTGGCAATTCAAGAAGTGCTCCACTGTGTTTTTAAACTCCATACACCTCCTCTAAAATAATTTGGATAAATGGAATAGATTTGGAATTGACCATCTCTATTGAAGAAAGGGTAGCTGATAGCTTGAAAACGACTGCTTCATAACATCACAAGATGGAATGGAGTTTGTTGTAGACAGACTAATAAATAATAAAGCAGGTAACAATATTATAACATGTCCTAAAGCTCACAAGAGTCTATTTTGCACAATATAGGACTGTAGCCATGTAAAATGATATACCCTAAATTCCTTTATATAGTAACTTTTGTTTTTGTGAAAGGGTATGGGGAGTTACTAGTTTATTGCGCAGGTACGTGTCTCCTCTCTCTCTGTCCTCCAATCTCTGACCAACAAATCCTGATCCTTCTCTACGGTCTCCTGTGATTTGTGAAGCTTTGAGACAATCTCCCCCACAGGCTTTGACTCAGCTTATCTGCTTCTTTGGACATTGCCTCCAGAACTGTTTTAATGGACAAAATTTCAGTGTCCATTTTGTAAGGCAGCTCTCCATCTAAATAAATCAAAATATTCCCATTTCATTATCTAAGATGAATTCCTCACAGTTAAGTTGTACTATTGTTTGAGCACAGCCACAAATGCTGCAGTGGACATAGTTTCTTGTTTTTGTTTCAATAGTGACTTTTGAACCAGAAGTTGCACACACTCATGAGCACATTCTGGGAGTGGGTGATAGAAATGGAAACGTGGCGATAGATGAGGACGGACGCAGGTGTTCAAATATTTGACCTTGGCCTGTTATGTCTGTACTCGAAGCTATCTCATGGTCACCGCAACATTCAGCAAGTTCAAAAACATTTCACAGCTTTCACAGAACTACATATTTTTGCTTCAATTTTAATCAAGAGCATAAATCTTAGTTTTTGCTTAGAAAAATGAGAGACAAGAGACAAGATAAGACAAATGACAAGGACACAAGGAGAAATGTTCTATCAACCTGCCACTGTAATTTATTTCCTTAAAATAGCTGCTTCATCACACAGTTTTTATGTTACACATTTGTTATTTTGTATACCCACTCCAAGGCAGTATTTATAGATGACCTTTAAACAGGCATAATTTGATATTCATGGCTCATCATTCTATGTTTACAAATTACTCTGACTTAAGAATTAGACCACTTTATTAAAAGATTTATTGAACATATTGTATTGTTCTGTACTTGGATTTTATCAACTGATTTAGGTATACTTTTCTGTATTTTTACAGGATTGAAAACCTTCCTGATTTCTGGCAGAAAGGTGGAGCTTCTATCTCAGTGCAGCTGCACACAGTTGGGGTCTGTGGGGTCAGAACATTTGGACCAAAGAGTGCACTCCCCTGACAGTGTCCATAGCTCCTCTCACAGTGTTAAGGTGAGCTTCTCTTGCTTCATCTGGCTAAGTAATGTTTTCTCTTTTTTGTTGATCCTTTTATTGATATTTAATTTAATTTTATAAAATTATTACTATGGGGTATTAAGTACTAACACATAACATATTTAGATCACCATGTTACCTTTTATTGTTGTGTATATTGTATATTAAACTACATATTAACATGTTTAATAAGTTTCAGTTTTGTTTTTGACTCTTTTAGTGCTATCACTTTCCAATTGGCATTCATTTTGCTCAGATGTAGGCTTGTGGGCAGGATCATACTGCTTTCCAAGGAGGGTTTGGATAGGGCCCCTAAATTACTGAAACATGCATGGATGACATATAATACCTCTTCAAGCATGTTTTGACGAGGGAACAACATTATAACATGGCAGAATGCTAATTGCATAATATTTTCTTTTTAAACTCACTAGTAGAGAGATATATGTCTAGCAGAATCTCCTGATGATGATCATTCCCTGTTAATCTCATTAAATCTCTGTTAACTTCTCATTATTCCCCCAGTCCCCCTGTTTGTCTTGTGGTGTCACCTTGATCCCTGGAGAAAGTCAGGTTTCAGAAGAAGTACTGGTTCACAACTGTCATGATGACCTCAAGGCTAACAGCATCAAGGTTTGTCTGGGGCGTGACACAGAAATTAATTATTTTTTTTTTTTACTAACTAGATTGACAATATTCATACCATATTATAGCAGTCCATCAGAAAGGTGCTTGTTTGGCCCTGTAAATGTGGCTGAGGTTCAAATATCAAACTAAAAGTGAATGGACTGTCAAATTAACCACTTAAGGGCAGAAATTAGACTTAGAAAAAAGACTTTATACCCCTATTTAACAGATTATACACTATGTTTTATGTTTTTACTGCATTTTATTAGTTTTTATTATGGCATATTTACAAAACAGTCAATGAAGTTTTAAATTTTTCAATTTATAATTTACATCAAGTTTATCACAAGAATCTAGACACTAACTAGCGCACCACCATATACTAGACTTATGGTTTTGGTTAGTATATTTAATGAGACAGGGACAATGCACAGTGCAAATATACATTAACCTTAGCAGGAGAGATGCATTGTACCAGCAATAGTGCCAGTTTCCACCTGCAGTCCCTGAGCATGCTGATTGTTAATTACTTGTGGACTTGCCTAGGACTCTTCTAGTCTGGAGTGTCCACCTCTGGTTTCTATGGGAATGGGCCCTAAGGCTCTAAATGGTCTGCTGAGTCCTCGCCTGGAGGCTTTGAACAACAGCCAAACATCTCTATGTGAGATGTTACAGGAGAAGGAGAAGAAGACGTGGGGCGGTGGGGCGATGGGTATGGACCACTCTGCACTCATCCCTCTGCGCTCTAAGAACTTTAGAGAGAGGAGCGATGCCCACTTTGTGGATGTTATCAAAGAGGACAGGTGAGACTGGTCTTTGCACGTCAGCTGACATATTTTAAAGGTACACTATGAATGTTCCACAACACAGTATAAAATTTTAAATCTTTGTCTCCATGAAGATTGCTATGTTATATGCTATTTTGTGGAATAGAGTTTAGGACATTCACAAAAATCTACATAGTGCCCTTGAAACCTTATTACTCAAGCTTGATGGAGACAAGCAAGTGAAGCCACCAGGCCATGAAACAGTCAGATCTGGGTGAAGTGACCCACTCACATTAAGAATGATAAGAGATTTTCAGAGTATGTGTTTACCAGTAAAAACACCAGTAGTTAATTAAATGCAAGATAATTCAGATTAATGACATTTTTTTAAAGATACTTAAAACTTAAAACAAACTGTTGAGCTGAATTAAAACATTGATTACACTGAGTCTCTTTTGTCCATTACAGTCTCATGAAGGACTATTTTTACAAACCTCCCATAAACAAACTGAGCCTCACCTTCCTGGAACAGAGCCTGGAGTCTACTTACCGGATAAGCTACCAGGAGGAGGTATGTGTGTATGTGTTAATATGTGCTTGTAATATTTATATTTTTATTTAAAGAGGAATTACTTTATCATGTAATGTAACTGATCATCTTCAAAATCTCTCTTGCACTCTTCAAAATTTGCTTTAGCTTTTATTTATTTTATTATTTTTATATAGGCTTAAAAATGTCTTGTCACATATTGTCTGTAAAGAGAAAAAGGGTTAAGAAAATATTATTTTTTTTGCAAGTCTACCTAGAAAATCTGAGTTTTGACCAACCACGCTGGACTGCAGCAAACCAATGCAGGAACTTGAGTATAGATTTTTATGATACTATGGTGCCCCCTGTTGGTATAAATAAGTACACTTATTGAAAAAAATGTAGCTTTAATAAAATCAGTTTCATTCAGTCATTTATTGCTTTTAGAAAATAGCAATAGTAATTTTTCCTCTTATTAATATTAATCTTATTAATCTAACTTTTTGTATTTAAGGTGGACACCCAGACAACAGTACAGACCTTTGCCACGCCGACTTTCAGCTCATTCTTGGACATGCTACTGTGTTGCTTGGTGTTCTTTGCACTCTCTTTAGCGTGTTTCTTTGAACCCATCATCACCCAGCAGAGTTTGCCCATATCACCTCTTACTATTACAGCTGTGGCTGCCCTCCTAGAAGTGCTGGCATTGCTATTTGCCATACGGTAAGACAAAACAAAAAGTGTAACTAGGTCTGGGCTTGGACGAGATGACAGACAAATTCAGTTTTATTCTGTCTTTTTAAAAAGCAAATCAGAAATGCTTTGATTAATTTCCTGAACATAAACAATATCTAGGCATTTAATCTTTATGATCTAACACAAAAAGGAGACTATATTCTTTCTCTGATATCAGAACTTTTCTCATCTCATTTCAGCTTTTACTGAGAAAGGGTTTACTGTAGACCTCAATTAATAAGTTTCAATTAAAGTTTAATTAACTGCACAACCTTAGTTCTAACTAGAATGACTATGACTATGATTATTCATCTGATGTTATATATTTGATTTAAGTCATTTAATGAGAACATACAGGTGCTCTGTGTATTATGAACTGAAGGGCAATGATTTAACAATTTCAGTGGCGTTGCCGTACCCATATAATAATCATTGGATTTATATAGCACCTTTCAAGATACCCAAAGCGCTTTACAGATCATTTTTCATTCACTCACACTCATATACCTAATGATACTAAAACTAAAACTCAACTAGTGTCAGGATCCATTTACTGAAAAAAAGAGTTGGCCCTTTCCTGAAAGGTTTAGCATCTGTATCAGAACTACTACAAGACCACATGGTTATATCCTCATCAGATAGATTTTGTGCATTTAGTATTGAGACAATATTGTGAATAATCTGTCTTCTTCTACATCAGTATGGCCTTCTATGTGGAAAGAGCCCTGCCCTGCACAAAAGCCCTGATGAGGGTCATATCAGGGTGGATACCCCGTCACTTAGCAGGGGCTGTACTGGTGTCTCTACCTGCTGTGGCTGTCTTTTCAAATGTTACCTGTGAAATGCATAAGTCAATCCAGGTATGTCTTTTAGTCAACAACTTACATTATGACAATACTTTGCCACATTTTGTTGCATTCTCTGAAAAAATGTCTTAACTTTCTTTACAGTTCACCATGTTTATCTGCTATGCTGTCATCATAGCCATCATTCAGTATTGTAACTTTTGCCAACTCTGCTACTGGATGCGATCAAGTTTGGCAACATTAGTTGGTCTGGCACTACTTGGTCTGCTCTTTATTTCACCATGCCGGTAGGTGCCAGCTTAGGCTAAGCACATTCATTGAACAAAAATGTAAATTTGTCATTACATTGTTACATTTTGCAGGGTCTCTAAACATCTTGGAAATGCAATATGGTAAGTGTTGTTCTTTTAACTTATTGTGATGACTAGTACAGGTAAGTCACTGAATTTAACATGAGCTTAAATACATTACACAAAGTGTTGTATTGTTAATTTATGTTTTCCTTTTTAATAAGGTCACAAGGCTACCTCAATGACAGCAACAGCAGTCTGGTGATGTCAGAAGGGCCAGGAGATGCAGATGTGCAGCTAGACTCCCACAAGCTGCTTGGACCTGAGGCCTGTGTGGCATTTTTCCTGCTCCTCCTCTTGGTCTGGTTCCTCAATCGTGAATTTGAGGTCAGTTATCGTCTGCATTATCATGGAAACGTAGAGGCTGACCAACACCGGATCAAAATTCAGAACATGAGGGATCAGGCTGACTGGCTGCTACGTAACATCATTCCCATTCATGTGGCAGAGCAACTAAAGGTTACACAAAGCTATTCTAAAAACCATGACAATGTTGGTGTAATTTTTGCAAGTATTGTTAACTTCAGTGAGTTTTATGAAGAAAGCTATGAAGGAGGAAAGGAGTGCTACCGTGTCCTCAATGAGCTCATTGGAGACTTTGATGAGCTCTTAAGAAGACCTGCTTTTTCAAACATTGAAAAAATCAAGACCATTGGAGCTACATATATGGCAGCCTCTGGGCTGAATACACAGCAGTGTGCAGATGCCGCTCACCCTCACGCACACCTCCGAGCTCTGTTTGAATTTGCTCTGGAAATGATGCAGGTGGTGGATGACTTTAACAAAAACATGCTGGGCTTTGGCTTCAAGCTTCGCATTGGATTCAATCATGGCCCTCTAACAGCCGGTGTGATTGGCACCACCAAGCTTCTTTATGACATCTGGGGGGATACAGTCAACATTGCCAGTCGCATGGACACCACAGGGGTGGAGTGTCGCGTACAGGTCAGTGAGGAGAGCTTCTGTGTGCTCAGTAGCATGGATTATGAGTTTGACTACAGGGGCACAGTAAATGTTAAAGGGAAAGGTCAAATGAAGACCTTCCTTTACCCTAAAAGCAGTGACAGTGGTCCTGTGCCCCAATATCAACTGTCTGTATCCCCAGAGATCAGGGCACAAGTGGACGGTAGCATTGGACGATCTCCTACAGATGAAATTGCCAGCATGGTGCCCAATTCTAACGTAAATACATGCAGCACTACTACTATGGTTCCCAGTGCTAGTGCAGGCTCTTCAGCCACTACAGGGCTTTCTCTCGTGAAAGATTTAGGACATCGGGCTACAGGTGAAAAGAGAACATCTCCAGAGGTGTCTTTTACCAGGAGGTCTGTCTCTCACAGTGGTCTAACATCTGTAATCAACGTGGTGGAGCCATCTATGTCTGAAACTGTTAAGCAGCACTTCATTACATCTGCTTCACAAACTTCAGCCAGCCATCCTTCTTCAAAAGACACCAAAAAGGTTGACAATGAACATACAACTAAAACGTTAACTAGACTATAATATTGCCTTCCTCATTATGCCTCTACCCTTTAATATTTACATACACTGCAGGTTTATTTGTCAATATTTTTAAGAACTGATGTGTTTGCTGTGTCAGGAAGCTTTATGACATTTTTGACTAGCAGTAACACGAAAAAGATGGTTTCAGATGTAGTATATAATTCTTGACCTTCTTTTGCCTGCTATACAGATCTCAATGTCTTGCATTAATCAAATAATCCTAATCCCTTTGAATAGTATTAATACTTTTGTATGCATTTTAAGTGCCTTAGATTAATAGTTCAATGTGTAGATTTAAGCCTTTTTAAAACAATGACTAAAGGGAAACATTTTGCTAAACATTTTATTTCTGTTTTACTTTTACAGTATATGCTATATGTCTTTTGCTATACATCACTGCAATTTCTGAAAGGTGACCTTTCGTATAAAAAGTGCTAACATTTGCTCAGAATTTCAAAGAGAATTTAGTTTCTCTGCTATGGGAAATTATTTCTGATTTTTAAAATCAGAGATAAATCAGAATAGAATTAAGTAGTGCAGGTAAACTAGAAGTGTGCATGCTAACTGTGTTTGCTCAGTTTGCTGCAGCAGAATGATCTGGTGTTAAACTTGGAGACTACCTAACCTACTTGACTGAAATAATAACTCAGCAATCAGTCAAAGAAAAAAGAAAAATGTGCTTTCTGGTACATGAGCTTTATGTCTTGATTTATATAGCCTCACAAAGAAGCAGGGCTTGGCCACAGTTTGAGCTGTAGTTTTGTATTTGTGTGCATATTTCTAATTTCACAGCACACATGCAGAGAATCCCATGTTATTTCTGATTCCACCCTATATGTGTCATATGAGTTATCAAAGGATTGTGTGTTCACTAGCAAAATATCATTATGTGCATTATATATTCAACCAAAATGTAGGTATTATGGACAGCACTCATGGACAGCAATGTAAACATCTCCAAATGCACTGTAAAAAGCAGTTTTAGCTTGTGCCTTTCATTGTCTAGGCTTTTAATTGAATTGCAGATATATGATTAAATAAATCAGTGCCTTGATAAAACAACATTATAAACTATCCATGTATTACGGCCTTATGTTTTCTGATTTTATTCAGTATTGAATGAATGCTATGACATGCTCTTTTTTGTTCTTCGCTTATGATCACACAATCCTTCTACTAACAATATTGCAAAGCATTGTATTGTGGTGTGTTGTGAGGAGTCTGAGGTAATAACAATATGCAGTGGGCCTACTATTTACAGCAAGCATCTTTACTATCAGCTAAAGCACACAGGCTGCATTTGTTTTGCTCATTCATTGTTTTAAGGATTAATGATCCACATTGTGTACAAAAGTTCATCTGATGATAATTTAGGATGTGTGTAAGTTGTGTACACAATTTTTATTGTATTTATTTTTGTTTAACTGTCCCTGAACCAGAGCAATTGCACAATTGATGCATTTGATGCCAAAGAGTGCAATATCATGGATTTATGCTGTTCTGATTAGTTCAAGTAACATTTTCATTTTACAGTTACAAGACTATTGCACAAAGCACTCACTTTATTAGACTTACCTTTGTATTGTGTCGTACTTGAGTAGCCTTTTTTTTTTTTTTTTTTGTAAATGCATGAATTATAGTGTTCTGTATTGTTGGTGTTTTGCATGTGTGTAAATGTATGTATGATTGTTGAATTGTGAGAATGTATTTAGAAAGAATGTTTGTACCATTTCAACAAATGTGATGTTATTCATTTTGACAAATTTTACACTCTTAAAATTACATAGAACTGTAGAAATACTCAAATCTGATCACTCTACTGTCTGTTGCCTAATAATTAAACAAGGCAAGAATATCTGGATTTTGTCCAGATGTTATTATTTGCTAAAGCCATATTTTTAATAAATTGGTGAAATTTGCTGTCATTAAAATGTTTGAATATTGCACGTTAAGTGTGGAAATGAAGGGTAAATTAAATAAACTTAGCTGCTGGAAGTGTTGTCTAACTTAATTGATACTGTACTACAAGTTACTACACTGCAAGTTAATAAGATAAAATTGTAATTACATAAATTATTTACAAATAATACATGTATTTTTATGTTTTTCTTTTCATTTTAGTAACTTAATCTTTCATATTTTGGGTTCAAATGCCCCAAATATTAGCTGTTTTCTGTAACCAACCACTCCCAGAGAGGCTACCTTGCGTACGTGCACATGACGCACGGTGGGACACAGGTTTTACGTCAGGGCGTCACGCTGCACGCCTCCCCCTCCTCCCCTACGGTCTCACTGGGAAGAAAAAAACTTTTTTGTATCGGAGGAATCAACAGCCGCCATCTTGACGCGGCTCAGAATCGGGATTTCGGGGGGAGCATTAATTTTGAAAACCTACCGGAGCAATCCAGACCGGACACAAATGGCTTTTTGTCGCAGAAAATCGTAGCGTTAGTCAATCCAACGGGTCTTTGGACAAACGCGAGGGTGAAATAGGCTTTTGTCGTCTCGAATGCTCACTGTATATTTGATTTCCCTTTTAGAGAGCGCCGCTTCTCGCCGTATCCCTGTGCCGAGACGCTCGTTTACCGGGGAGACAGCGGTTATAAAAATGATTCACCTCATAGAAAATATTTTTTGAATTTTGTTCTTTTTATTTATTACAAAGGCATAATTTATTGTTGCTTATTTTTACGACAAAAAAGATGATTCCTGGCGGTCGCGAAGCCGACTGTTTACAAAGAAAGGGATTCACTCACGCTGCTTGTAATATTTTATGATTGATTTTTTTATGCATCCATCTTAATCTAAAATATTATTTGAACGTAATTATTGGGGATAATTATGTGGGTGTTGGGTGTTGGATTATCATGGGGTGATCTTCGGTGGCGAAGCGTGGCGCTGTTGCCTTTCTTTTGATTCGTTTCTCGCCGGGCAGCAATCCGCCAGTCTTCCAAGCTTTTTTCAGCCTCCCTGCGTGAAACCATAATAAAAGTTGACAGTCTTTGCAAGGCTGTTTTTCTGCGACCCCAAAGTGTTTTTTCCAGCTTTACTACTGATCAATGACAACCAGGATGGCTGATAATCTGCTGGATGTTGGACCTCCTACTGCAAAACGACCCAAGCTTAACTCGCCCCTCTCAGGATCAGATGGCCCAGGTAAGGATGTTGACATATCTCGCACTCTGTCTGGTTGACCACTGCTGCAGGTTTGCTTCACATTTTGTTTTTGCTTAAAAAAGTATGATGTATTATAATCCTCCAGTCTTTATAAGTTTTGAAAAGAGTACTTTGAACTCTGTATTGTCCATATGATTCCTCACCTTGTTCTGTGTGGCCTGTGTCTTGAGATTGAATGAATACACAGCGGCTCTGGATGTCTGAGTCTAGACTAGAGTGTCATCTGAGGACACAGATGGTTTACAAAATGTTAGTCTTTATTATTTAATAAACGAATTAAACGTCATTTTAAAGTTTGAAACGACCCATGTAATCCATCATCTAGAATAGAGTCAGCAAGATGTTAAAATGCAGTGCATCTGTTTCTGTAACGTCCACTGATTTTGATAAATAATCTATTTAGATGTCAATTTTCTTGAATATGGGCAAAAAACACACTGAAGTGATGTGTTTGCTAATGTTAAACACTGTATAATGGTCAGAATAGAGTCAAGGCCCTTGTTGAATTACTTTGTTAGTGGCTCTTGCCGTGTTACACCAGAAGGAACTCCTACTTCACTGAATGTGGTTTCACTGCTGTCTTGGATTAGAGTGGATGTCCTTACTATTCTTTAGTAAGTGGTTCAAAATATTAAAATTGACACATGTTGGCCAAATGTATTGGTTCTGACTTAGTCGACCTCTAATGCCTGGGTAAAAAAATTATCATATTTTTGAAAAATGCAAACTCACCATGGGTTATATTAATTATATTTATTTATATAATTGGATGTGGTCTTAATTTTGAAATAGTTAACTGGAATTTTGGCCATGTTTGATGTTTATTGCTTCAGAGACCTTTCGTTAAATCTACATAATGTTTATGTTTTGCACAATTAAACTTTTTTTCAGATCTTGTTTCACTGTTTGACTTGGAAAATGACCTTCCAGATGAACTCATTCCAAATGGAGACTTGTCTCACATGGGGTTCCCCACCAGTGGCCCAGGAGGTGCTGGGGCTCCTGCCCTCAACTCTGCCATCCCTGACGCAGCAGCCAAACACAAACAGCTGTCTGAACTACTGCGACCAGGAAGCTCATCCATTCTGGGATCAACACAACAGGGGAGCATGGGAGGCAACCAGCTCGGACCTGTTCTGGGTAAAAGTCCTCTTGGACATGGATCTCCAAACCATCAGTCTCCTCAACCACAGAAAGGTCCTTCTGCAACAGGACAAGGCACCGGCTTTAACCAAGCATTAATGAACAGTGGACAAGGCCATGGAGTGATGGGCCAATCGGGGCAGGTACTGAATGGTGGTTTAGGCCCCGCAGGCCGAGGGCGACCGGGACCTGGGATGCAGTACCAAGGCCAAGGGACTCATGCGACAGCGGCTGTGGGAGGCAGTGCACTGCCTGAGCCTCTGACAGCAGGAGGACTGCACTTGGGCCCCCATGCTGCAATGAACTCACAGCAAGCAGGAAACATGAACAAGGTAAGATTCAAGATTGATTTAAATGGTACCCAGTTTATATCTGCTGAAAGTCAAGCATGATGCTTCTGAAGCCCAAAAAATATTTGAGAAAGTATCAAAATTAGGAACAGTCTTTGAGGTCAAATGCCACTGAAAATTTACTGCGAATTGGCAAATTACTGCGTTTAACTCACTTACTCATTCAGGTATATTTAAAGTGATTCATGCATATGTGAATAATCTTTATAATCCTACTTCATTTTATAACCGTGTACATAAATGTAGGATTCAATAGTGTTACAGCCATCAGCCTAGTCTGGCAGTGCACTGTTGTGATAAAGGTTTACAGTGACATACTAAAGAATCAGGCGAAAATCAGCCCGCAGTTTCAACCAGATTAAACTTGTTTATTGGTCATTTTAGATCAATATTGCATACTATGTCAAAAATATAATGGCTTACGGGGTCATTCATTTTTACTGTGTATATAAGGCAGTTGCATATATGTCTTCTTTATTTTTTATGCATTATATGCATTGCAATGCAACTAATGACTAGACATTTTTTTATGGAGAGATACACCTTTAGGAAATCATGGTTGACTATTCATTAACTATTCATTTATTCATATTCGACAGAGGTGCTGGTGCTACGTCTCACTTTGGTATTTAAAATGTCTGAATGGCTAGTACTCACGCTTCACAGCGAGAACGTCCATGTTTTGACTCCCAGGTTGCGTGGGGTCTTTTTGTTCAGGGTTTGCAAATATTCCCCAAATATGGATGGGTATCAACTGAAAAAAGCTATATTAAACATACACAAACCTGACGAGTTGCCCCAGAGATAGTGTAGGATGGGTTAAATGCAGAGGACACTGATGAGAATGGACAATAATTTTGGCCGTTCTGCCCAGCGTAACACGCACATACAAATTTGGACTTCATAAGTTGGTTGTTTGATCTTCTTGATGTTCCCCGTTTTGTCTGAATCTGTGACTGTGATTCGCCTTTGAATCTTTGAAAGTAACACAGTGGCTGAGTAGGTAGGACCCTTGCCTTACGACCGAAGGTCCTAGGTGTTTATGGGTATCTCCTGTGAACCAGCCCCCAAAAACATGTTCTTTAGCCAGACAGTTCTGTGCAAACCTAGCCTAAGAGTTGGAAACTGACTCCTGGTTGCTGTACTGCGGTCATCCACTGCTCCTCACAGATTGACGTAGTAGAACAGAAGACACATTTTGCTACATGGACAATGGAGTATGTAGTATCATCTCATAGTAGGTCATGGTCAGTCAATCAAATTAACTCAATTAATTTGTGCTTTTAATAATTGTGATTTTGTGTGTGAAATTGATGATTAAGTTTACTCCTAACTTTCTTATTTGCAAAGTGTTTTTTTTTTTATGCAATTAAACAATTCACATTGTTGATGAACTGCTACCTGTGATACCTGTGGTACAGTTTGCTTTGGCAATTGGAAACTATCCCAATATGCACCATTCTGGCTCAGTGACAAAAATACACAAAGATTTCACATGTTTTGCACAAAACTGCGGATGAATGCACTAAGGAGACCAAAAGTTACATTATGAAGTTATTTCTTGGTACTAATTCATAAAACAGCACTTTGTACTTTGGCTGAATAAATGGTGCCACAGAAGGCGTCCCTTTTTTTCATAAGTTAAAAGTGCTAACCCCAGAACACTGACAGAGTTGACATGCATATTTATTTTAGACAGTGCTCAGGCCAGATTAATATGACAGTGTTTCCCATAGATTTGGTTAAGATTATGGTGCAAAAGGGCCACAATTTTTTTTCTATTTGTAACAATATGACAAATAGGGCTGGGTATGATTACTGTAAGTAGTTGCTGTTACAGTACATACCTCTACACATAGGCCACGATACGATATGCATTTCAATACAGTGCACTTTTGATTTGAGGTTCAGTAAAAATTAAAGGTTTTCAGCCCCGTACTTAATGATCAATTAATAGTCATCAATAGTGATGAACCCCAGTTTCTCACACACACACGCATACAGGCACACACACACACGCATACACATGCGCGTATACACACACAATGTTCCACGGTATGACATCAACTTTACCTTTTAAAGGTAAAAGTTTATCCAATTACAGATGTTTTTATAGCTCAAAAATAACTTGAAAACAGCCATTCTGACTGTGAGCAGGGATGCCTCTGGCCGATGCCGATCTGACCTGTGAAACATGAAACATTTTTTAATGGACAAAAGCATTTGATGGACCCTCCACTAGAGAAGTTACACAATGCACCTTTACTGGTGCATTTATCTACCATTTATTGAAGATGAATGAACATAATAAAGTGCACTTTGTTTAGTTCATGTTACTAGAAGAATACATGAAACTGTCGCATTGGTCACTACTTATTCAGCCATAATACACTTTCAGCATTTACTTGTACAAATGGGCATCTGCAGTTTACCTGCTCTAAATGCTCACAGAGCTACTAAATCATAACTTCCATATTGTGCGAAGTTTATATGAAAAACACCTATTTCAGTAATCAAAATATAACACCCCCCCATATTGACTGATCGATTTTCTGTTCTATTAAAAACATAGATGTGGACTTCCAGCATAAAGGGTCACTACAGTTATTTATTTCATGTTTATAGGACAAATAATAATTTACATTTAATGGTTGAATTGAGTTTGTAAAATATATTAAATCTAAAAGCATACGTGTTACCATTAATGGCATAATCATGTGCATGTGTGTGCTAGAGCTATCAATAGAAACACTTACAAAGTCTGTGCGTTAATTGAAGTCTTAAGTTTCTCATAAAAGGTGAAAAATTTGTCGTTTACCTTCCCTGACTTTGGTTATAATAAGAAGCACCAGAGGAGGGAAAGAGAGGAGAAAAGGTGAGGAGTTGTGGCTGGATCAGAGAGGGAGGAGATGCACACAGAGACGGGGGGGAGAGAGACACTGAACTTTGTTAAATTGTGCAGATTTAAGTCAAAACTTGTGAACACGTGAGGACAGTCTATATACGGTCCCTGGGCTTGGACTATTTTTTCCTAAATAAGAGCATAAATCCTTGTCAGTTTCATGTGCCTTGATTGCCACACAATGACTGTAGATCTGTTGATTTAAATGCACTTGCCTTATCGAGATCGACCAAAGTAGAGATTGCAATCTATCGATATTTCAATTTTTGGCACAGCTGTACTGTCACAAAATAATTTGGCAGAATGTACAAAAAACACTCTGATGGATTTTCGATAGTTTGTACACTTACAAATATTATAAAAATGTTTTTATTGCATTGTCTTAATACATGGGGTAAAAGGCAAATGTAAAAAAGAGCTGGCGGAATTTACACATTCTCCTGTTAATTGCATTTTATTAATGAGTGTTAATTGTGTTCTTCTGGTACAGCCATAGTCTTTATCTTAATTTAATAAAACTTCTGACTAAAAGTATAACATATATGTAGCCTGAACGCTGTGCTGAAAGCAATAAATGGCTCCCTTTGTGCATGTGCAGAGAGTCATTCAGTATATAAATGCGTCAAAAACATTCAGTGATTGCGTTGCCCGGTGAGCCAGCTCCTACGTTCTCTTCAGTGCAGGAGCATTGCTTGTGTGTGTTTAGGCCTTAAGACGTTGCTCCTTTTAAGTGGGCAACACTCATTGGGCTCTTGTTCTGCAGGTTTAACTGTTCTAGTTGTATACTTTTACACTGGAGGGCAGACGCTTGAGGCATGTTGACGTGAAGTTCAGCTTTTCAGATGCTCATCTAGGCAAGTCACTCTGGAGCTCATCTACATACGAACGCCTAGACGCTCATTTACATGTACTTTGCATGTTAAATAGATGTCTTCTATCAGCTGTTTCCTTTTGTTGGCTCTGCACTTCAGAATAACTTTTTTAAACTTCTCCAAAGCCTGTAGAATTTGCTGACTTTAATTTTACCACCTGGTTTGCATCTAACGCAGTTGCTGTTTTTGTTGTTCAGTCTTTTGGTTGGTATTACAAAGACTTCAGCCCCTTTTTCTACAATACAAAATCATTTAATCGACAATCGAATTGTTGGGATGAAAATCAAATGTTGCTGCTACATAGACAATAGAGCGATAACTTCTGCTCTCTGTAGATGGGGATGCCTGGAAGTCTCTTTGGCCAGCAGTATGGACAAACTGGGCTTCAGCAGATCGCTCCTACAGGAGTCAATGCCCAACAGCTACAAAACAAAGTGACTCTGTCAAACAACCTCACCCAGTTTTCTGGAGACCTAAAGGGAACTTCTAATGCACCGAACATGGTGAGTGACATGGCATTTTTATTGCTGACCCTAAATGGTGCTTATTTTGTTTTGTCTTAACCTTAGTTTATTTTGCGTATGTTTTTGCCCCCACAGACACAGCCGCAGGCTGCAACAGGGGGCGGGGTCCCGGGGGCGGGACCAACAGCAGACCCGGAGAAACGCAAACTTATCCAGCAGCAGCTGGTTCTGCTGCTTCATGCCCACAAGTGCCAGCGGCGAGAACAGGCCAATGGAGACATGAGGGCCTGCAGTCTGCCCCACTGCCGCACCATGAAGAACGTCCTCAACCACATGACCCACTGCCAGGCAGGCAAAACCTGCCAAGGTAAGGCACTGTAGTTTTTGAATATCTACCTGTATCTTTAACCAGTTTAAAGTTTATTTGATTAATTGAGGTGTGTATATTTGTATTTGGAGCTATAACATCTCAGTAGTTAGAGCGGACATTGGTCGTTCAAACCAGTGCTCACTGTTGTTGTGTCTTTAGGCAAGACACTTAATTCACTGTATGAATGTGATGTGTGTAGGGCTGGGTAATGAAAATTGGTTACAAGAAGGAACTGTGCCTTTACAGTGTCCCAAAGTCAGAATGCATAATAATAAATCCATATCCAGTCACAATCTGTAGTGTTTGCGTAAAGTTGAAGCCAAACTGAAAACATGAACCAAACTCCTGGTTCTGGTAAAAGCGTAATTCCCCAATAAGTATGGTAACATGCAATGTGGTGCGTGTGTCTGCGTAAAGCTGCAGCCAAACCCGTAAAGTTGAAGCCAAACAGAAGATATCAAGCAAAATTCTGCCAAAATCTTTCTCCTCTTCAGTCCCAGTGAAAGCATAATTAAGACGTAATTGTGGTAAATGTATCTATTGTGATGCATGTGTGCGTAAAGATGCAGCCTTTCAGTCCTTGTAAAGTTCTCCATAATCCCCCTCCTCCGTCCAGGTAACCATAGGGCTGCTCAATTATGGAAAAAATCATTATCACAATTATTTTGGTCAATACTGAAATCAGTTATTCAAACGATTATTTTTTTTGTTACGCAGCAAGCCCACGGTTTTAGTGGAAATAGTGGAAAAAGTCCAGCGGCCGATATATCTGTTAAATAGTGAGGGAGATATGAATCCTGCTGCGATACGCGCTCCTCCGTGAGTTTATGGATCTAATAACAGCACAGAGTAGTGAGGACAGCTGTAGACAAGGCTGCAAAACTTTTGTCTTTGTCACAGTCCTTATTGAAGGTAAGCACCTATTCACTGTGTTTTAGAGCGGACCGTTTCTATCGTATGAGTAACATCAGCGCACCTGAGAGGGATTGTACAGTGAAGTCAGGCGTGTGTGCGTACATGAGCAATAGTACCGTGCCTGAGCACAGATCGATTGCGCTCACACTGGACAAATGTATGGCTCTTTAGGGGCGATCCGTGCTTGGACATGGTTCTAAAGTCCTAGTGTGAATACACCTTAAATTGTTTCAACTTGATTATGAGTTTGGAGATCGGTTTACGCTCAAATCGAAATTGCAATAAAAATTCAATTAATTGCACAGCCTTAGGTAACCACGCAGTAAAAGAGTAAAGTTGTTTGTCAAAACATGCTACTGGTGTCTACCGCTCCCCATCTCCCCTGCTGGCTCCCCTAGTCTCCCGCTCACTCCTCGTGTCTCCCGCTTGATCTCCGTGTCTCCTGCTCCCCATGTTGGGGAGGGCTGCACACATCCTGTGTGCCTTTCTGCCTGCCTGGTAGTGCATTCCAGGTGCGCACCAGGTAGTTGGATTTTTGCTGGATGGAGCATGGTAGCATGCCAGCCAATTACGCCCAGAAGAGGGGACTGCGCTGAGCAGGTAAAAAGTCTGTCACTGACTTTTTTTTACTTTTCACTGCGACACTGCTTCTGTCAGTGTGGCCCCCTACCACTGGCCGTACTGACACTAAACTTTGACATTAAGTAGGGGCCACAAAATATAATTCCACCTGCCGCAGTTGGCCCCCAGCCTGTGAGTTTGAGACCACTGATTTATATTTTAAAAAAATACTAGCGCCAAAAAAAGAACCATTCAGGAACCACTATCGAAAAGCATGTATCGTTAAAGTACTGTTATAGAAAAAAATCAAATGGTACCCAGCCCTAGATGTGTGCGTGAAAGCAGGTCCAATGGTGCAGATTAGCTGCCTCATCAGTGTACTATAGGGCAGCTGTGGCTGCTGTTTATTTGTAGTATTTATTATGGATGCACCGATCCTATACTGGTTTTGGATATAGGGCTGTCGTAATAACTGCAAAAATTAATCACTGTGGTACTAAGAGGCCCATCGCGGTGCATGTTGGGCCACCGCGATGATCGCACGTGACCAACGTGACCCAACAGAGAGTCCTGCAAGGGTCCATTTTTAGAGATCCGCACCTGCCAGGACCCATTAACATTCTACCCGTTACCGCCCATGCCCGTGATAACCCAGGTCTAACCCAGGTCCAACCCAGGACGTGTAGACCGTCGTGTGACCATAGGCGAAAGAACCTGCATAGAACTCCATGTCGCATGGAGGTAGGTGCGGCCGTCACCCAATCCCGCTTTGCGGACAACCTGCTCCGCATACTCGGGGCTCTCTCTCTTAAGTCCTGGTGCAGGACTCTGACCCGAGCCGCCATAGTGAGAGATGGAGAGATGCAGCGGCACTTGTTCCAAAACCAAATGTTACTTCTCCCTCTCTACATACTATATAATCGCACGACAACCAAGGTATATGTGCATCTGCCCAAGAACCGCGTCATCAGAGAGAGTTTTCAGTGCTGCTGGAAATATCGTAACTCTGGAGGATGGGGGTGGGGGTATATCACCGCATAACGAGCTGTTGAGCTGCTATACCGCACAGCAGGAGAAATTCCCTAACCACGATACCCATATTCGGATATCATGTCAATACTGAAAAAATTTTATTGAATATTGACTTCCTAATATTGGTTCAGCCGATATCCTGTTTGGAAAAATAAAGTGATGTAAACTGACTATTTACTGGATGTAGTAGGCCCAAAAAGTCTCAATGTTTTAACTTTTATTTATACAAAGTTTTTCTGTAACTACACAACAGTTGGATAACACATTTGGATGAGTTTTGTCTCATTTATTTTTTTTAATAAATGCATGCTATTTTTAGTCTCTGCACTGATATCTGTTAATATTGAGTATTGGCAGCTGTACTATGGGAATCGGTATCGGAACTGAAAAAGCTGGGTTGATGCATCTGTAGTATTTATCAATAAAATATGGTCATTATTTATGATGCTTTTTGTCACAGCTACTGTTACTGCATGTACATTATTTTATTTGTTTATGTTATGAATCTATACCAGTATGATCTATACTGATACTCTACAGTTTACATTCAGGAAGCTTTGGAAATGATCATGTATTTATTGTCCAAATTTTTATTTTTTTTTTTAATCTATTGATCCTTCAGTATATCATTGTTTTTTCCTTCCAGTGGCTCACTGTGCATCCTCCAGACAGATTATCTCCCACTGGAAGAACTGTACACGACAGGACTGCCCTGTGTGTTTACCTCTGAAAAACGCTAGTGACAAAAGAAGTCAACAGGGTTAGTAGCACATTTTCTATAGTAATTACAAATAGATTGGTTAAAATGGAGTATGCATTTGTTTAACAATATGGAGCCATCTGCAGGCAGTGTGGGCTAGTTCGTGACATGAGCTCCAGCAGCAGAGGATTCCTTCACAAAGGCTGGGCCTGTAATTTGACACTGGGGGAGGGGCATTGTGGCTCTACTATCAGTGGGCTGGGCCTTTATACACGCTTGTTTCTGATTGGTCAAATCCTCAGTGACAGGTTTAAATCCCTCATTGAGGTAGCATGCTCCCAGTGAGCTGCAGTAAACACAGGAGATAATGGTGCATTGCTTTGAGACTTATTTATTCTTTTTGAGAGTTGTTCAAAAATATATATTTTTAATTTTAATATTGCCTTTTTATGCCAGAAATTCAGATGCTGAAAGAAATGAAATTATTGCTCTGCAGATTTCATATTGTAAACTCAGTGACGGCAAATTATTTTTCACATTGAACATCTTCAACATGTGAAAAACCTAACTAGTTTATTTTTTGCAGCCGTAGTTATTTCGCACTTACCTTATGCATTTTAAGCAAGTGCACTTCCTGTGTATCGGGACAATAAAATAGTTTCTAATTAGATACAGACAACAGACAGTACACTTATTTTGCCCTCAAGTTGTTTATTCAGTGTATTTGTACTCGGGCAAGACCAATTTTGTTCCAATAATTGGGAAAAAATCAGGTATGGGACTTTTTTATAGTTTGCAAAACAAGTCAATAACAAGACCATGGAGCATGACCTTTCAGTCCTCAATCTTCATCCTGCTTACACACAAACTTTTGAATTGGACAGGACACATGGAGGCAGATGTTGTCAACTGTTTAGCAGCAACATCTTTTATTTAAAAAAAAAAAAAAAAAAAAAAAGGAAGGAAGAATGCCTAAGAGCTAAGGTGTTTCTTTTCCTCTCTGTAGCTCTGCTTAACTCACCTGGAGCAGGCTTGCAGAATGCTGTCAACAGTGTGGGCCCTGGTCAGCCCAATGCTACAGCCATCAGCAGCGCCTCCACACATATGGACCACAGCTCCATGCAGAAGGCCTTTGACGCTCTGGGTCTGACGTATGGGAACCAGTCGCCTGCTCAGGTTCAGGGCCAAAGTCAAGCCCAGGGGTCGCATAACACCCAAGCGCCCCAGCATCACAATGTGAATTCCATAGGTATGTGTCCAAGACATTTACATTTGTTGTAATGCTTCTAAAACTTTCACAAGCCATCCTCTCTCTATCTCAGGTGCTAATCAGATGAATAAAATGGGGGGAGGCATGGGTGGATCTTCAGAGCAGTCTGGTTTACTCCAAGACTCCTCTCTACCTGCTGCACTCAAGTGAGTCCCTTTTACCCTGTTTAAAATCCATCAGTTAATAATTTATATATAGTCTTGACTCTTGATGCATTTTTCTCTCTATAGTCAGCTGATGCCAGATGGGTCTGTAGCAGGAAGTTTGGGGAACTTGCCTGCTGCCACGCCCCTTGTGACGTCTGGGGTTAGAAAACCTTGGCATGAGCATGTCACTCAGGACCTGCGCACCCACCTGGTGCACAAACTGTAAGAGCTGTGACAAAATAACCAAAAACTACATGAACTGCTCTCTCTAAAACTGCTTCCTCTGTGCAGTGTGCATGCCATCTTCCCGACCCCAGACCCACAAACGCTGAGAGACAGACGGATGGATAACCTTGTGACATATGCAAGAAAAGTTGAAGGGGATATGTATGAAACAGCAAACAGCAGGGTAACAATTAGTTGAATTAGTTGAAAATGTTGAAATCATGGAAGCTTCTCAAAATATCTTAACATTTTGACTGCTCTGTTTCTGAAGGATGAGTATTACCACTTTCTTGCTGAAAAAATCTACAAAATCCAAAAGGAGCTAGAAGAAAAGAAGCGTCTGAGGTTCCAGAAACAGCCTGGTATGGCTGGTCCTGCTGGTCCTCAGCATCCTGGACTAACTCAGCCTAATGGCATGGGGCAGGCCATCCGTGCTCCCAGTTAGTACACATTTAAAGATTTCATTTAACTTTTCAGTGTGGCAATGATTGCTCATTGTTGTCTGTTTTTCCCTCAGATGGGCCTGTGCCCATGCCCAACATGCCAAACCCGATGATGAACCGGATGCAAGGACCTCAAGGTGAGACTAAAATCAGACCTTTTTATTTTCCAAATAAGCCTGAGGTAAGTCATCTCATGATTGTGTATTTCATTGAAAAACATTTGTCAATGTCTTGCCTCAGTGCAGAGTTGGCCAATAACATTTTTTTTTTTCAAAATTACAGTATATATTTTCTCATATCCGTGTATACAGCTATAGAAATGTGGGACACAACACCATCTCTGGCTTCATGCTTAATAACTCTTCTTCGATTAAGCGTAGATGAACATCGCTGTGTTGCATTTGACAGAAAGGAACATGTGTTTTGTCACACCCCTGTTAATTTGACTTTGCCCATGCCACATGGAATTTATTTTATTATAAAAATATTTATTAACTATAAATGTGTGATCAATTGAAACTCTTAAACCCTGGGTATTCACAATTGTTGGGCTTTACCCCACAGGAATGAGCCAGTTAAATTCTATGGCAATTCCAAATGCACAGATGTCTCAGGGAGGACACGTTCCTTCTATGAACCATCCACAGCAAATGAACGTGAATTCCGTCCCAATGGTAAGAACTGCCATTTTTATTCCCTGGTGACTTATATTTATTTTTATTATTATTATACTTTATAGATTATACTATTATACTTGTTGTCCTAAGAATTTCTATCTCTTTTTGGTTATTTTCAGATGAACATGTCTCCAAGAATGACTCAACCTCACGGAATCATGGGTAATCATCCTAACAATATGATTGGGCAGCAAGCCAACCAGGGACAGTTTATCCCCCAACAAGGCCAGTTCCCTACAGCACAAGGAGGGTCAATGAATGCAAGCCTTGGTCAAACTATGGCAAAGGCTTCCATCTCACAGGTGAATTAACAGACACTGTCATACTACACATATTGACACTAGTGTGGTTGGTTGTACAGTTTGTGTACTAACTACATCTGCTTTTTCAGGTACAAAATGCTAACCTTCCCATAAATGCAATGGGTACCTATGGGACCTCGCAGCCTAGTGGTTCAACAGCCCAGTCCAGCCTCGGTAACACCCCGCCTCCTAACGGTTCTGCCGGACTGCAGCCTCAGCAGCAGATGCAACATCACCCACCAGCATCAACATCAGCTCAGATTCCTCCTCAACCCTCTACACCAGCCTCTACAGGGGGGCCATCCTCTACTCCAACCCACATCCCAAATCACCTGCCTGGGCCTCTGTCTGCAGCAGGGACACCCTCTGAGCCAGGCCAGCCGCTCACTCCTCTTCACCCACCCCCTGACCCACCTACCCAACTACAGCAGCCACATTCAGCCCAGGCACAGCACCCAAGCACACCGGTGAGATCATATACATTCAAAAACACTGCATACATTGGTTCAACTCTATATTAAAATCATTCTTCCATAATCAGATGTCCCAGGCAGCTGCAAGCGTAGACAGAGTCCCGACTCCTGGCTCTGTGGCTGAACTGCCATCCCAACAGGCCGTACCTGAGATAAGCAGTACTGAACCCAAACCTGAAATAAAACATGAAGAGAGCGACACAACGTCCAAGGAGACCGACATAAAAACTGAGGTATGTGAATTATCTGATGATTTGATTTGACCCATGATTCTACTTAACTATGTTAATAAACAACTCCTTCTAAAGCAGGAGGAAACCAAGCCCCTCTCTGTGAAGAAAGAAGAACCGGAGACAAAAGAGCCAAAGCCAGAACCAATGGAAAGTGAGGAGAAAAAGCCAGAGGTAAAGAAAGAACCCAAAGAAGAAGAAGAAAATGAGGCTAGTGGAACGTCAACAGCCACAGCTAACCGTAAAAAAGGTATGCACGACCATTTGATAGATTTGGGGTAATCTGATAATGTGATCATCATAGTTATTGTCTGTTTGTCTGTGTCCAGTCTTCAAGCCAGAGGAGCTAAGACAATCTCTGATGCCAACACTGGAGGCTCTGTACAGACAAGACCCAGAGTCTTTACCTTTTCGACAACCTGTAGACCCAATGCTCCTGGGCATTCCTGTAAGTCTACATAATGTCATTTAGTTTGGCAAAAGGCAAGTGTTTGAATTTTAATAACATCAAATATTTCTATTATTTTAGGACTATTTTGACATAATAAAGAATCCAATTGACTTGTCAACCATTAAGCGTAAACTGGACACGGGTCAGTACCAGGAGCCTTGGCAGTATGTGGACGACGTATGGCTCATGTTCAACAATGCATGGCTGTACAACCGTAAGACCTCTCGAGTTTATAAATACTGCACTAAACTGGCAGAAGTGTTTGAGTTGGAGATTGATCCCGTCATGCAGAGCTTGGGCTACTGCTGTGGGCGCAAGGTGAAAAAATTTAATTAAGTAAAATTATTTTTCAAAACCTAAGCAAATCAAATTGTTGTTGACCTGTAAATGTAACATGTTCCACAGTACGAGTTTTCACCTCAGACATTGTGTTGCTACGGCAAACAATTGTGTACCATTTCCAGGGATGGAACTTACTACAGCTACCAAAACAGGTAATGTCACCAGTTTTAGTCTTGAGTGATTTCTAATGTTGAACTTAAGATTTTTCACACACTTGAGTATAATTCTGCAATGTGCACATACAATATCCAGATCACTTCACCCCCTGCTGTGTAAAACTTGTTACTGCATTTTGGTGTATACAGGACCAGTTGTCACCAAAATGTCAAATCGGTGTCCTAAAGCATTTATTTTGTATTGTAAAAAGATATATATTTCTTAAAGGTTATTTTGATGTGGAGGGTTCCTAGTTTCTTTAACACACTGTTAAATAGTATCACTGCCTCATCTGTCAATTGTGCATTTTATTTGATTGATGTCTTTTTGCATGGCATTACCTTGTAGCTATCATTATCTTCATTTCCATGCATGTGACAACATCATGATGGGCAGTGCTTGTGTATAGTTGATGTAAAATACGGAGGTGGAAGTAATATTAATCACTAACACACCACAGAGATTTTTACTTATAAGACTGAATTTTTTGGCGTTTTACCTTTTACTTACAGTTGCACTATGTAACTTATCTTTCCTGATTAAGACTATGGTTCTGGCTTGTCTCCATGGAGATCAGATTGGTTTTCTTGTAATGTTCCACATTACATTTTCTGTTAGTTTTTTTTATTGCTAAAAATATAGAAAAGGTAGAAAAGTTTGATATTCTGGAACATTCCAGGCAAAGCAATAATGTCTCCATGGAGACAAGTGACAAATGACAGACCCTCTACCCAAAAAGATGAGTTGTGCACCATAATTTTCCTTTAGCCTTTCCACCTCTGGTAAAGCTGTGAAAGTGTGTAGCATGTACCTCCATTTCCTCTCCTGTTTGAATGTGGCCATAATTTGTGACTAACCTGTGCCTGTGCTGTTTGCTGTCCATGCTCCGTGGGTTGTTGCTGTGTTCTCCATTCACTGCATTGTGCCCCCTGTGCTGCTACTACTGTGTGTGCCGCCCGCAGTTCACCCAAATATGGCCTTATCGCCGACAGGTATCACTTCTGCGAAAAGTGCTTCAATGAGATCCAGGGCAATAGTGTGACCCTGGGGGACGACCCGGCACAACCCCAGACGTAAGGGATCGCATCTTCACTTTGATTTATTGTTTAGGCTTGACAAAAATGTACTGATTAATGTTTCGTTTCTGCAGTATGATTGCAAAAGATCAATTTGAAAAGAAGAAAAATGACACTTTAGATGCTGAACCGTGAGTTATTCTTTCCATCTGTCCTATTAACAGTACTTTTTTTGTCACTATTAACCTATTCATATATTTTACTTGCAGTTTTCTTGAATGTAAAGACTGTGGTCGGAAGATGCACCAGATTTGTGTGCTGCACTATGATGTCATTTGGCCCACAGGGTTGGTATTTTGTTTGTATATTTCTTTTTTTTTTTTTTTTCAAAATTGCTCTTTATGCATTCTGTTAACATATGTACAAACTGTATATTTCTAGATTCATCTGTGACAACTGTCTCAAGAAGTCTGGAAAGACGAGAAAGGATAATAAATTTTCTGCCAAAAGTATGTAACTGTATTGTAACTTTTTTTTGGTCAAATTAGGCTGTGTTGTGAATTTGTGAATCTTTTCTTTTTTTCTCAAGGATTGCCATCTACAAGATTAGGTACTTATATTGAAGACCGAGTCAATAAATACTTAAAAAGACAAAACCATCCGGAAGCTGGAGAGGTTTTCGTGCGAGTGGTGGCCAGTTCTGATAAAACGGTTGATGTTAAGCCTGGCATGAAGTCTAGGTAAAGTAGTGATTGTGTATTATTTTTTACAACTCATCAATTGTGATATTTTCAACACATAGATAGTAGAAATGTGTACTGCAATAACTCTTTTCTTTTTCAGGTTTGTAGACTCAGGTGAAATGGTTGAAAGTTTCCCTTACAGAACCAAAGCACTATTTGCATTTGAAGAAATAGACGGGGTTGATGTTTGTTTCTTTGGTATGCACGTTCAAGAGTACGGCTCTGAATGTCCTTTTCCAAACACGAGGTAAGACTGTTCAATAAGTTAATCAAAGCAAAATGTGTTTGACTCAGGACTTAATGAATCCTTTTGCTCTAGGCGGGTTTACATTTCATACCTTGATAGTATTCACTTCTTCAAACCGCGCATGTTAAGAACTGCGGTGTACCATGAAATCCTGATAGGTTACCTGGAGTATGTGAAGAAACTAGGGTGAGTTTTTGTATACTAATTATTGTGTGTCCGTTTCTGGCAGTGTGTGGTCTTAAAATGTTTGTGTTTATAGGTATGTCATGGGTCACATCTGGGCTTGTCCGCCCAGTGAGGGTGATGACTACATCTTTCACTGCCATCCTCCTGATCAGAAGATCCCCAAACCCAAGAGGTTGCAAGAGTGGTACAGAAAAATGCTGGACAAAGCTTTTGCAGAGAGGATTCTTCATGATTATAAGGTACTTCTGGCTTAATGCTGACAAATGACCCATTAATAATGGCACTGCCTATATGGATATTTCCATCAATGATGTGCAAAATATTTTGTAAAAAAAATAACAATGATTGATATGAACACTGATTTGTGTCTTCAGGATATTTTCAAGCAGGCCACTGAAGATAGGCTGACAAGTGCCAATGAGTTGCCATATTTTGAGGGCGACTTTTGGCCTAATGTTTTGGAGGAAAGCATTAAAGAGCTGGAGCAGGAGGAAGAGGAGAGGAAAAAGGAGGAAAACACTGCCTCCTCTGAGACCATAGAGGTGAGATAAATAAATGAGTATCATGTTTTAACACCAAAAACAGCAATTCTAAAAGTTTTTTCAATGTACTTTTAGGGAGCCCATGCTGACAGCAAAAACGGTAAAAAGAAAAACAATAAAAAAACAAACAAAAACAAAAGCAGTGTCAGCAGGGCCAACAAGAAAAAACCTGGGATGCCGAATGTAGCAAACGATCTGTCCCAAAAGCTGTATGCCACAATGGAAAAACATAAAGAGGTAAGAGAAGTACTGACATTTGCAATGACTTAAGTCTGCCCGTCGCAGAAGCCTTTATTACGTTAAATGTAAAAATGTTCTGTTCTTTTTGTTCTCATTAGGTATTTTTTGTGATTCACCTTCACGCTGGGCCAGTGATTAACACTCTGCCCCCAATCTCGGACCCGGACCCTCTGATGTCCTGTGACCTGATGGATGGTCGCGATGCTTTTCTGACACTGGCCCGAGACAAACACTGGGAGTTCAGTTCTCTGCGAAGGACAAAGTGGAGCACCATGTGCATGTTAGTGGAGCTGCACAATCAGGGCCAGGACCGCTTTGTTTACACCTGCAATGAGTGCAAGCACCATGTTGAGACGCGCTGGCACTGCACTGTTTGTGAGGTGGGTTTTCAGATCCAAAAGCAAAACTTTATCTGTATTTTAGTTTTGTATTGTTTAATTGTCTTCTAACATGTTCTTTTGCCCTTTGTTCCATTAGGACTATGACCTATGCATTAACTGCTACAACACTACCAAACATGAGCACAAGATGGTCAAGTGGGGTCTTGGATTAGATGATGACGGAAACAGCCAGAGTAATGAGGCCTCAAAGAGTCCACAGGAGAGCCGTCGTCTTAGTATCCAGCGCTGCATCCAGTCCCTGGTCCATGCCTGCCAGTGCCGCAATGCCAACTGCTCTCTGCCATCCTGCCAGAAGATGAAGAGGGTTGTTCAGCACACCAAGGGCTGTAAGCGCAAGACCAATGGCGGCTGTCCTGTGTGCAAGCAGCTAATCGCTTTATGCTGCTACCATGCCAAGCATTGTCAGGAGAACAAGTGTCCTGTGCCTTTCTGTCTGAACATCAAGCAAAAAATCTTTCAACAACAGATGCAGCAGAGGTTCCAGCAAGCACAGCTGATGCGGCGCAGAATGGCCACCATGACTGGACGAGGCATGCCCATGCCTTCACCACCTACCTCAGCTGTTCCTGAGGCCCCCAGCTCTGGACAGCAGCCGATGACGCCACAACCACAACAGTCCATGCCCAACCAGCCCTCACAACCGCAGCCACAACACGCTGCAAATATGGTCCAAGGCTTTCCCAACAACGGACGCATGAGTCAGCCCTCTACACCTGTGTCCCATGGAAAACCCGGCTCCTCTCCTCTGCATCAGCAGCAGTCTCCTCTGCCCAACATGCCACATCAACAGCAGCCCCCACCACAGCAGCAGCCGCCTCTGCTGGCAGCACTGAAGGTCGCCAAGGAGATTGAGATGGTCGCTAAAGCGAGGCAGAATTATGGCTTGAATGGAATGCCTCTGAACCATCCTCGAATGATGGGAGCCATGCCGGGCCAGATGCCGGGCCAGATGCCGGGCCAGATGCCGGGCCAGATGCCGGGCCAAATGCCGGGCCAGATGCCGGGCCAGATGCCGGGCCAGATGCCCGGCCAGATGCCCGGCCAGATGCCCGGCCAGATGCCCGGCCAGATGCCCGGCCAGATGCCCGGCCAGATGCCGGGCCAGATGCCGGGCCAGATGCCGGGCCAGATGCCGGGCCAGATGCCGGGCCAGATGCCGATAATGCAAGGCCCACGTGGTCCTCATGTGATGCAGAACATGCAACAGGGACAGTGGGGAATGCAGAGCCCCATGCAAGTAGGCCAGGGTGTTCAGACCCAGGTGCCTGGTCCACAGCAGGCTCCGGGAGGTCAGATGGCCCCACAGGGTCCTTTGATGCAGAGGCCTATAATGCAGCAGGGGCTCCAAATGCCTGCAGTTATGAACCCTCAGGGGCCTTCACAGGGTATGACTCCACAGCAGCAGAACATGCCTCGAGGTATGCCTGGGAATTTTGCTCCAAGTGCTCTGCAGGATTTATTGCGCACCCTCAAATCTCCCACATCACCCCAGCAGCAGCGTCAGGTCCTTAGTATCCTCAAATCCAACCCCCAACTCATGGCTGCTTTCATCAAACAGAGGACTCTCAAGTACCAGGCCCAGCAGCAGGCTCCTCAGCAGAGCCCTCAGGCCATGATGGGAGCCCAGGTGGGGATGCAGCCCATGGCGAACCCGGTGCAACAGCCAGGAGGGCCCCCTCAACAACCCTCTCCACAGCAGCTCCCTGGGCCTCAGGGCATGGTACCCATGGGCCCACAAGGACAAATGATGAATGCTCACCAGAATGGCAACCCTCAGATGTATCGTCAGCAGATGCTCCGCATGCAGCAGATGCAGCAGCAGCAGCAGCAGGGGGGCATGCACCAGGCTCATGGTCAGTTTCCTCAACAGCAGCCAGGGCCCAACTATACTCAGCTTCGTATGCAGCAGCAAATGGCTATGCAAGGAGGAGGAGGGCCCATGGGCCAACTGCCAACTACATCCCAAATGGGTCAGCCTGGCATGGGTCAGCCTGGCATGGGTCAGCCTGGCATGGGTCAGCCTGGCATGGGTCAGCCTGGCATGGGTATGGACTCCCACCAGAACCTCCTCCAGCAGCGCATGCTTCAGCAGCAACAACAGCAACAAATGCTGAAGCAGCAGATGGGCTCTCCTGCCCAGAATAGCGCCATGAGTCCACAGCCCCACATGCTCCCAGGACAACCCCCCGGAGCTCACTTATCTGGTCAGAATATGGCCCTTGGAAATCAAGTCCGCTCCCCGGCCCCAGTTCAGTCTCCTCGACCACCCTCACAGCAGCCACCACACTCAAGTCCGTCTCCACGAATGCAACCCCAGCCCTCACCTCAACATGGGACCCTTCACTCCAGTTCCCCCCACCCCAGCCTGGCTGGACCCATGTCGGGCACTATGGAGCAGGGCCACCTCAGCACGCAGGAGCAGAGTGCCATGCTCCCACAGCTCAACACACCAAACAGGGGTTTGAGTAATGACATGAATTTAGGGGGAGACACTACGGGGGACACTCTAGAGAAATTTATTGAAGGGTTGTAGCATCTGGAGACAGAAGATGGGCCTTGTTCTGTTTTCAACTGAAATATTTTGTATTTGCTCAAGTTGCAAATTGCAAGCAATTAATTAATCAGAGGCCTCGAGACTGTGAACGTTTCCTTCCATCAAATAATGCTTTACTTCCGGAGTGATTAATTGATGCTGTTAAAAATAAGACAACAGAGACACATTTTTGGTTTGACCAGTTCTGAATTTTGTGTTTTAAATTTTTGTTCAGTTTACGCTATGGACATGTATCAAAACCTTGCACCAAAAATCATTTTAGTGTGTTTTTTTATTTGTATCTTATTTTTTGTTGAGAAAACTGTAAAGTTATTTGTTCAAAGGTTTCGCCAGGCTTCAACTTTTCCTCACTTTCCTTCCTGGCTAATTTATTCTGATATGCCATTTTCATGAAGACTGCCTTTGGGAAAGCCTTAATTTCTTTCCTGTTGCAAAGTCTATGGGAGATTATTAACATATTTGTACAGATTTAATAATTATTGCACACACAAACACAACGTGCAGGTGCTCTTCTGCACTGAAACTTGATGTTCACAGGTGCCCGAATGTTGTTTTTCTACTGGTCCTTCCCAGTATTTGTCTTGAAATAGTAAATGGCTGTGTTTTTTCAAAAAGCTTTTGCCTGTGGTGGGAATTACCTGTTTGACTGCTGATTTCTTTCCGTTTTTTGCCTTTTTCTCTTGCATTAAACTTGAATTGATTATGAACTGTTCTCAAATGTAAATTATGCAGCTAGACAGTACTGTAAATATGATGAAAATAAGAAAGAATCACTGTACAAAGTCACTAATGTCTCATTTCGTACTTATTTACCATATTGTTAAATAAACCTGTGTGCCACTGAATGTGTCGCTACTTTGTGGTGGTGATATCGCCCTTCGTGCTTCATACAGTCGATGATCAAACCTCGGATGCATTGATGAAGATTTTTATGGTTAATTCTTTCTCAGCGCGAGACCAGGACGGGTTTTGTCAGGCGATATTTGGACACCTACGTGACGTCATCCACATGCGCATGCAGGGGCCCTGTGCGGTAGCAGCGTGTGTCCCCTACACATCCAATCGACCTCTTGTACATTGCTCTCCGGTTTTCAAACATGTCCCGTTGTCTGTCGCTGGCCCGGGTGACTCTCGGACTCTCCAGGGCCAAATCTGGGATTGTACCGTGTGTGGCGCGAGGGCTGAGTACACGAGCCATCCAGCAGCAGCTCTCGTGCTCTGGAGGTAAGCGAGCCTTAGTCAGTGTGATGCAATCTGTTAGGAGCTGCAAGAACAGACATCCGAATACATGCATGTTTACAATCTTATAAATTTACGTTTCAAAATATAAAACTTCTGCTCGGTTCACTTGTGAACCAGGACTGGCTCACTGCGTCAAAAGCGTTTGTGTCGTTGTTGGTTTCTTATCAATATAATATATTATATATAACAATAACAATATATATATATATTGTTGGTTTCGACCAATATAAATGATGCTAACAGTAATATGCGCAGACTAACAGGACTGTCCACTCTCCTCTTATAAGGGCATCATCGGACACAACTGCAGAAATGGAGCAGTCGACCCAGAGTGTGGAGCGCATGCCTTTCCATCTGCCCAAAGAGTTATTACAGCACCCAGCAAGCAGAGCAGGAGCCCGAGGAAGAGCCTCTACACACCATCATCAGTGACACAGAGGCCGTCCAAGGTACAGCCTCAATATCAGCCCCAGTATCCCCTTATAACATATTTAACATTACTTTTATTTCTCCAGGTTCCTTTTCAAAACACGAATTTCAGGCAGAGACCAAGAAACTGTTGGACATTGTTGCAAGATCTTTGTACTCAGAAAAAGAAGTGAGTTTAGCACAGAAATATAGTCATGTCGTATCGAAGTCGCTTCTCTAACCCATCGTAAATATTCCAGGTTTTTATTCGGGAGTTGATCTCTAATGGAAGCGATGCTCTGGAAAAACTACGGCACAAGCTTATGACTGCAGGTGGAGAGACTGCCCCAATGGAGATCCATCTGAAGACTGACGCCAATCAAGGCACTTTCACCATCCAGGTTTGCCCCATAATCGTTTGTCATTTGAAGTTGTATGTAAATGGAACTAAAATACACAGCGCTTTAAGATTATTAGAGTTTACAAACACAGAATACAAAAAAAGAGTTATTGCCATTGTCAGTGACCAAAACTCACAAACTATGAAATGACTTTGACCAACATTAAACAACAAATAAAATAAAAAAAATAAGGTAAAACTAGGGTAGGTGCAAGTAGGTTAATTACAGTTCATGAGTCCAACACATCAAATGGTTGAGGTAGTATGTAAGTTATTTTAAAACCCACTCCACACATGGTTATCTGTTTTTTAATAAACCTATGAAAGTTTAAAAAACAGGACCTCCATGGAGATTGGAGTATAATGGCATTTTGTGAGACATTTCCATGGCAAAAACTGAAAGACAGATTTCAACTCTGAACCCACAAAATGAAGGGTGTACAGGGAGTTTAGAGTTTATGTGTCCCCTTTTTGCCCTCCTGGACTGCAGTGTCCTAAGTGTCTAACACAGGGGGGCATAGCAATTCTCTCAAAAACCTGGGGTGAAGGTTCAATTCCTCGCTGTGGATCCTGTCGGGAGAAATAAAAATATTCCAGCAAAATTTCTTACAAAACAGCTACTCCACTGGACAATATACCAACATTACTGTAGCCTGCCTGCTGTGCATCTTCATCTCAAAGCCAACAACCACTCCTCTAAAGAGTGTGAAGTACAGATCTTGGCAAAGGAGAGGAGAGGGTTTGAGGGACTAAGAGGCTATGTTTGTTAAAAAGACAATCTTGGGAAAAATCTATCCCTTACCACAGCAGAACTAACTGAAAAATCTACTTGAATGAGTAATGAAATGTATTTTAAAACTTTTATACAGTTGGCAACATTCAACCTTCTTTGCTGCATTATTTTAAAGCATTTTTTTCTCATACAGGACACAGGGGTTGGCATGAACCAAGCAGAGCTGGTAGAGAACTTGGGAACTATTGCTCGTTCTGGTTCAAAGGTATTTAATACAATATATATTTCAGTGTATGTCTAAGAAAATGTCAGAAGTTTCTTAGACAAACAGTGTTTTCTGTAGGCTTTCTTAGATGCCCTTCAAAACCAGGCAGAGGCCAGCAGCACCATTATTGGTCAGTTTGGGGTGGGCTTTTACTCCGCCTTCATGGTAGCGGACCACGTGGATGTGTATTCACGGGCTGCAGACCCGGACTCGCCAGGATACAAGTGGTCCTCCGATGGGTGAGATACAAGTGAAAAATAAAGCTGTGGAACTTAATCAATAGACCTCAGCGTTTTATGTTCTCGTTTTGCAGCTCAGGTGTTTTTGAGATTGCTGAAGCCAGTGGGGTTCAACAAGGCACCAAAATTGTGCTTCACCTTAAAGACGACTGCAAAGAGTTTTCTCATGAGGATAGAGTTAAAGGTGACATTTTGGATTGTGATTAGTTGGTCAGACTTGTTTGCCTTGAACTTAACATTGTTTAAACATGATTTTCTTCAGAGGTTGTGACAAAGTACAGTAACTTTGTGAGTTTCCCAATTTTCCTGAATGGAAGAAGGCTGAATACACTGCAGGTTGGTAATCCTACTTAGCTCTTCAATGTAATAACTAGAATCAAAAGGTGTACGAAACATGATTAACACTGTTTTATATATCTTTATTTTAGGCACTGTGGATGATGGAACCAAAGGAAATCAGCGAGTGGCAGCATGAAGAGTTTTACCGCTATGTCGCCCAAGCATATGATAAACCACGTTACACTCTGCACTATCGCGCTGACGCCCCACTCAACATCAGAAGCATCTTTTATGTCCCAGAGGCGGTGAGAAATAAAAAGAATATAATGATGAGTACA